CGGGGAGGCCTGAGCGCGGGGAGCGCCAAGCACCTGCCCGGAGAGGGAGGGGAAGGGGCTAAAGATAAAACCTTTGGGCTGCAAGGAGATGCAGAAGCCGAGACGAGGTGCCCGTCTGTGGTGAGGAGGGTGAGCGGAGGGGGAATGAAGTGGGAGAGGGTTGGAAGTGGGTTGCTGACAGCGACTGTGGACGCTGCAGGGGAAACTCTTTGGTATGGGTGACCCCTGCCACAGTACATGATGTACTTGTGCAGAAACCGGTGCTGTGTGATGGTGCTGAATAAATACCGGGGTAGGGCCCTGAAACGCTGACCGGTTTATGTGGCTGCATCGTTGTGAGGATCTGTGGTCAGTGCACACAGGTGTCCCGTACCTCTGAGGCAGGGTGATTCTGTACAGGTATATACACATGCAGGTACATTACTGTATTTATGGGTATTCAGGCATACATACATACTTACTAAAATAACGGATACAAAGAAAAACTGTAAAATTATTCCAGCATTGCTGGTAGTTAGCTCAGTTACACCTTGCTTGGAAGCATGATGGCGGCTGTAGTTATTGGCTACATCTTTACACTTGAACAGATAACATCTGTCTTTAGCTCCTGGTAGCATCTTAGTCTCTCCAGGGTTGGAAAAATGAGCATTAACCTGCTGTTGTCAATTACAGTTATTTCTCAGGAATTTTTGGATGAGTTGTGAATAAAAATGTCTTTCTCCAACAGAATGAGTGCCACATCAGCCACAAGTTGTGCCTTGCCACCACCGCCTGGGCATGAAGAAGAGGACCAAGAGTGCTCTGAGACACACATGTCTGTTTTGTGGTATGCAGGGGAGCTTGCAATTACTTATTACGATACAGAAGATTGCTCAGTTTACTTCATGCCTGACACACCTGATAATGAAGACCTCAAGCTACTGCATAAAGTGATTGGGGAAGTTAGTCCTCAATGCATAGTGACTAGTGCAAAACAGGACCAGAATATTACCAAATTCCTGAACAACCTAACAGCTACTGCTGGTGATAAAGATACCAGAAAACCAGAAATTGTCCTGTTTCCTAACACAGATTTTGGCCTAGAAGTCAGCAAGCAACGGATCCTATCTAGGCAATTTCCATTTATCCCATCTCATATGACTGCAACAGAGAAAATTCTCTACTTGTCCTCAATCATCCCTTTTGAGAGTCCACTCATGATACGAACTCTAGGGGGACTCCTTAAGTTCCTGGACAGGAGAAGAGTTGGAGTAGAGCTTGAAGAAAGCACGATTGTAGTTCCTATTTTGGCCTTTAAAAAGTTTGTGCTGTCAGATATTGTGAATATGGACCAAGACACTTACTGTGTCCTGCAGATATTTAAAAGTGATATCCATCCTTCTGTGTACAAGCTGTCCAGTGGATTAAAAGAAGGATTCAGTTTATATGGAATTTTAAACCGTTGCAGGTGCAAATGGGGAGAAAAACTGCTGAGGCTGTGGCTCACACGACCTACTCGGAACCTGACAGAGCTGAACAAACGGCTAGATGTTATCCACTTCTTCCTGCTGGCTCAGAACCATGAAACAGTCCTCACTCTTCAAAGTTGCCTCAAGAATATTAAAAATGTGCCTCTTATTCTAAAGAGAATGACTCTTTAGTTACTGACTGGCAAGCACTCTATAAGACAGTGTACAGTGCAGTGTGCCTTAGAGACACGTGTCGTTCTCTGCCCAAAACTATTGAACTCTTTCAGACTATTTCACATGTCTTTACTGATGATCTGCACTACATTGCTAGTCTAATCAGCAAAGTGGTGGACTTTGAAGGCAGCGTCTCAGAGAACCGCTTCACTGTAAGACCCAATGTGGACCCCACCATTGATGAGAAGAAACGGAAGCTCATGGGACTTTCAGACTTCCTTACAGAAGTGGCACGAAAAGAATTGGAAACCTTGGACAATCATATTCCCTCCTGTTGTGTGATCTACATTCCTTTGATTGGGTTCCTTCTCTCCATTCCACGGCTACCAACTATGGTGGATAAGAGTGACTTCGAAATTGAAGGCTTGGACTTCATGTTCTTATCAGACAATAAACTGCACTACAGAAGTGCTAGGACTAAGGAGCTAGACAGCCTGCTGGGTGACCTGCACTGTGAGATCAGAGACCAGGAAACACTTATTATGCACCAGCTGCAGACAAAGATCTTGGAGAAGTCTGAAGTGCTTAACAATGTGATTGAGTATACTGCACACCTAGATGTGCTACTAGCTTTGGCAGTGATGGCCCGGGAGAATGCCTACTGCCGGCCACGCTTTACTCATCGCCATGGTTTCCACATCAAGGATGGAAGACATCCGCTTATGGAACTATGTGCAAAGACTTTTGTGGCCAATCCTGCCAACAGTGGTGAGGCTACCAGACGAATAAAGATCATCACAGGGCCCAACTCATCTGGAAAGAGCGTCTACTTAAAGCAAGTAGGTCTTATAGTATTCATGGCTCTAATTGGCAGTTATGTCCCTGCAGCAGAGGCAGAGATTGGAGTAATTGATGGGATTTACACAAGAATCCACAGCAGGGAATCAGTTTCTGTAGGCCTCTCTACTTTCATGATTGATCTTAACCAGGTTGCCAAGGCAGTAAACAATGCCACAGAGAGGTCCTTGGTACTTATTGATGAGTTTGGTAAAGGGACAAACACACTGGACGGCCTGTCCCTTCTGGCTGCTGTCCTGAGGTACTGGATCAGTCAAGGAACCCAGTGTCCACAGGTATTTGTCTCCACTAATTTTCACAGTTTAATGCAGCTAGAACTCCTGCCTGACACACCTCTTGTGGAGTGCCTGACCATGGAAACCCACCAAGATGGAGATGAGTTGATATTTTTCTATCAGATCAAACAGGGCATGTCCACTATTAGTCATGCTGCCAACATCGCTGCATTGGCAGGGATGGCAGCCATTATTGAAAGAGGATTGGAAGTGTCAGAACTGATTCGCAATGGAAAAGCCATCAAATCTATTGATCATCCTTCAAAAGGAGATCAGATGGAAAAATGCAAGTCTGTTGTAGAAAAGTTTCTTCGCCTAGACCTTGATGATCCCCATGTGGACTTAGAAGAGTTCATGCTTAAAGAGGTGCTGCCTTCTGCAGCCTCAGTCCTGTAACAGGGGTATGTGTAAAAGCATAGATTACATCATATCTACCGTGTTCAGTAGGAGAGTTTGGTAATTTAAAGCATGATCACTATGACTAACACCTCACACTACATGTAGGTTGTAACAAACTGTCTGTAGTGTATGTCCTTTCTTCTTCTTCTTGTTTAAAACAAGTACTGTAGCTACGTATCTCTGAAATATGTTGTATGAAGAAAGACTGAAAGAAGAGAATTCAAGAACATCTTCCAGCTGTTGGGTCACCCAGTTTGTGCAATTTCTGCCCCTGTTGTTAGATCTTCAGAGTAAAAAATACTGTAGAAAAATCGCAAAACATTTCTGCTGGTCTCAAGACTGTGAAAGCAAAGTGTTCATTGCTTTGTATTGTGCCAAAGTGATTGTTTCATCCGTTTTATGATCAGCATCAAAGATTCCAAATAGGTATGGGCCTCAGAGTCCCATATCAGCAAGTAACAGGTCTCACAATACAAACCACTGATGTAGATGCTGATAAATGGAAATACAGAGGCATTTACTGATCTCTGCGGCTTTTCGTATACCAGCATTTCTGTCCAAAATGCCAGTGATGCTAGTTATTATACAAAGAATGCTGGAGGTCAGAATCGGCAGGGACTGATAAACAGGGGAAGTGCTTTTGTTTTACTGAGAATCACTCTCTTCTTATTAAGGTTCTATATAGTATCCATATGCAACAAAAATCCATTAACAAATTAACGAAGCAGGAGACATGATATGTAACTACTACAGAAGTAACAACCTTTCCTACAACAAGATAAATGCCCGAGATTCCTTATGCAAATAAGACAGAAGCGACATTAGATAGCTTATTGTCTGACTGCCAAAACTTGCTGTGACTGGTTACAGTATGGCTAATAAAAGATATCAGCAGAAATACTACAGCTCTCTTCAGCTATATTTGATTTCAAGAAGCCAAGAATATTAAGGTCACATAAATTTAGAGAAAATTTACATGACAAAAAAGTAATTACCTCCAGTTACCAGTATTAAACATCTTATCTGGTATGTCTACCTGAAGATAGCAAAAAGATGAACAAGTGCACATCAAAAAGACATTTGGAGACACTGCTTTACCTTTGATTCAGTGTGGAATTTTGTGCTTTATGATGAATAGATTATTATTATTATTATTACTGCAAAATAAGTACCCTATGTTATCTGTATAGGAAACTAGCATAGTGGCAAAAGTTTAACATAATTTAAATTAAAAAATACAAGCATAAATTACTGAATCATGCAGCTACTGCTATTTCCAGTGCTATCATAATAATACTGTCTGCAAAATAATATCTAGCATCTTGACGATGTTACCATTGAAGTCGAATGGTAGCAGTGAATCAGGACTTGTACAACACTTGAAAGTGTTATAAATACAAACAGATTTTTCTCACTAATATATTCTCTTTTACTAATTGTATACAGTATTATAAAGATATACTGTACAGAAGAATATCACATATTAAATATTAATAAATTATATTTTTGGCATTTTTTCTTGTCAACCACTGTCCAGGCTAAGAATATACACCTTATTAATTAAGCAGATGCCATCAGAGCAATTTGACTGTCAGTCATCTTCTTCTTATGAAATCCATTTCACAGTATTTGCAGTTCTGGCAGCACTAGGTATCAAAGGATCTCCAAATGTCATACAGCATTTATCAAGTGTGCCTCACAACAGTCCCTGAAATAAACAGCAACCTGGATGAATGAAAAACAGGAGTTGTGACTGACTTGTGGCAACATAGCAGGCTAGTAGGGAAGCAGGAACAGAAATGTCATCGCCAAGTGCAAAACTCCAGTTGCTTCCTTCATTGTATTTCATAAGGTTATTTATATAGAAGATAATTTTACTAAGCCAAGATCCTTATAATTCAAATAATCAATTGTCTAAACAGCTAAACATGTGCAAGTAAATTATATCCCTTTATCTCCTTCCACAATGATACTGAGAGGCACACTGTACCTCCTTCCTTTTGGGGAAGTTTTCAGTGCCACATTTGACCTCAGAATTGTCCAACTAAGCACAAAGAATGAGTTGCTCCCACTTCTGAGTAGGTAAATAAGTTCTTGAACCTAATAAGCTGCAGGGGGTACAGTAATCCAAATACCTCTTTTGCATTTACCATTTTTAGCTTAATGCCATGCCTTCCAAGTAGAAAGCTGATTTCTTGAGATCTTTATTAATTTTGTATTCTCCATCTCTTTGCATTGTAAATTATCAGCAACAATTTGGGAAAGTTAAAATCTTTTCCGAATATATGCATTTCAAAAATGCCTGTAGCTATATTAAGTTTTGAAAAACAGATTTTTTTTTTCCCATAAGATAACTTCAGTGGAATTTAGATGTCATTATAAGGAGTGGTTTAACAGACCATTGCTTCAAATAAGAAAAACTTAAATTTAGAAAAATATTAATATAGATATAAAGCTATAGCTGTGAACTATACTCAATGTTAGTTCTATTTACACTTTGACATGCCTTCTCATGTCATCTTTATCTACTCCTCCTTTCTTGTCTTTCATACTGTCGTATGATCTGAAAATGCAATTAAAACATTATATTAACATGTACTACGAAATTGTTATTCCTTTCATGTTTTATGTTTTTATTTATTATTTTCAGTCAATGCACAAAACTATCTCACTAAATGCATGGACACAAAAAACCAAAAAATGATAGTAAGGACAGATGCTTATGCCCAGCAGTGGATTGACAGAGAAAAATTCCTGATAAAACAATTTACAGACTTTTAATACATAACATCTTTCTATACAGTGTATCTTTAGAATACCATATGCACTATCGAGCATTATGGAGGACTAAGGAAGATGATTTGGAATGACATTGACCTGGTTCTGTCAGAAGCAGTGAATATCAGAACACAGAAAGTATGCATCCTGGCTAATAGTTCATACAAGGTAGATAAATGTAAACAAAACAACGAGCCAAAAACCAACCAAAAAACAGAATGGCAAAAGCTCACTCTGACTGTCTCAGATGTTTTAACCAAACAGTTAAATTACTGAACAGATGATATTCCAGAACAACTATGGATTTTTAAAAGGAGTGTTTTAAATAACAACTGTTAATACAAGCAAAAGCTTATGCGAGATTACAAATTTAATATCTGTAATATACCACCTACAACCTGTGGACGAGTCCTTATTTCTGTTTCAGAACAAGTGTGTGTGCCCTTGAAGTTTCTTGATGTATCTCAAGTCTCACTGCCTTCTTCCAGATGATTTCACAATACTACTTAATTAAAATATGCACCTTCAGCATTGTTTAGTGTTACTTCTAATGAAATTTTAGAGTATTTGTCCTTAACGCTTACTATTAAGGAAAAAATAAACTTAAAATAGTTATATTATGTACTTTAAATCTTATTTAAAAATATACTTTTTCTGAAAATTCTTTTCCTGGTCAATGTTAAAGAATCACATAAAACATTCAATACAATGTCAGCAAAACAATTTTATGGAGATATACCTTATGTTAAATAATACAATATTACCGTTAAATTAGTATGAAATAAAAAACTAGATATACTAGTATTGCTTCTATATATTTATCATCACAGTTATAACCTACTTTTATGTATTTGTGTATTTTGTCAAAAAAGCTAACAGGCAAGAAATAACTGCCTGCAGGAGAGGACACAGAAGATGTGCTTCATTGCTTCTCTCAAATTCACTAAAGCATACTCAATAGAGGGAGCTGACAGTCTGCATATTATGCATAATACAAATATAAACACTGTTTATTTGTGTGTTTGTATGGTAGATGTATTGTTTTTTTCTAAAGAAATCAGTATTTTCAAGTCTTACCTCTTCAGCTGGTTACAAAGTAGAAAGTATGATGCTATAGTAAAAGCAATTCCTTTGTCCATCTCCAAATTGAACTTTCTAGATTGCTGCTGAGCTATGTGAAATGTGAGCTCACCTGCTTACGTAGCTGTGTTGATTTGGACAATTTCATGAAGGTCAGATGTGGTTTAAAAGCTCTTTCTTCTCCTGCCAAGATGCCCTTTTCTTGAAATATCTTCTTGAGAGTCTCTGAGGGGGGAGAAAAATGTAGAGGTACAAAGATATTACATGATAGAATGCTTAACAATGTGCTTTCTACTGTAGTATGAGTCACAGCTGCTCCACATGGAAAAAATTAGATGATGAGTACTAAAAGGCAGAGAGATTTCTAGTTAACTTCAAAGGTACATATTATTTCCTGTGAAAATGGGCTTATCTTTGCAGTTAATATGGGTCAAAAATTTGGCTTTACTAAAAATGGCAATTAGAAATTTGTCCATGCTGTCTGCTTTCATAGTATCAAAATAGGAACTTGATGTTAAAATTGTTGAGGAGTTACTGTCACTGGAAGAGTTTTGGAATCTTCAAGAAAACTCCAAGTATGTAACAGAATTGTCCATCTTAGAAAACACTATTCTGTGATGAGTTCTATTACCTGTATTTGGGTAATCTCCCACTCAGACCAAAGGAAATCTGAAACTGAAAGCTGTAAATTCGGGCACTGGATTTACATGGCAAAATTAGAGAACCTATCAGGTATGTTGATGATTTTTTGTTTGTTTTTTTTCAAGCTTCACTGTTGCCTTCCAAGTTAATTTCCTATTTTTAATGTACACTTTTATCTGGCCACAGCCCAGGCGAATACAACTCTACTATACCGACCTGGTTTAGTATTTCCCAACTCTTCTGCCTACTATAATGTTTCATTTCTTGGAAATAAATTTCACTATAACTTTTGAATTCTGTTCCCTATTTATTCTAGCTGAAATACTTTAAATGAAAAAATCCTATTGCAATTTTGAAAAATAGTTTAGAAAAAATTTATAAAACCTGTGGCAAAAATAATACCAGTAAGTAGAATATTTCTGTTACTGAAAAACAGCAAAATCTTTTTTTTTCCTTTGCAAATACAACTTCCAGTTTTTTCACTAAATGTAGGGCTA